TTCTGTCTGTCTGTTTGTGTTTTTCCTCTCTGTTCCTTCTCTCTCTCTCCCTCTGTCTCTCTGCCAGCAGTAGAGAGGGGGGCGTGCCCGAGATCGGCTCCTAACATACCTGCTCCAGATTGCAATCACACACCTGACCAGCATCCACCTGTCTGTTGTTGTATTTTGAGGAGCGGCCATACATCCAGTCCACGCCAGATTGTTGGTTAAGCATATTTCTTACCACGCACCAGCCAACCTGCTATTTAAAGACCTGTACTCTTGTCAAGAGTTTTTTGCCACCTTCCTGTATTGCCTGCCTGCTCTAACCAATCTCTCTCTCTCTGCCTCAGGAAAAACCACTAGGATCCCTTGCCACAGTGTCTTCACCTGGAAAACCCTCACCACTCTGGATCACACCACCTGGACCTGCCAAACCTGCTAAGCCAGCCAGCCAGCTCTATAACCCACAGGACTCCCTTCTTCTGCCAGTCCCTCCTCACTGCACATTAAATTACTGTTTCGCAATAAATTGTTTAACTTTACTCTTTGTGTCCGATCTGCTTTTGGGTTCAGCTATGAAATCTGACAGATGTAATCCTTGTCCAGCTATGAATACTTTTAATTTCTCACTAAAAAACTCTGGAATGTCTCTTTAGTTTGGATCCTTCATCGTTCCTCTCAGAAAATATTTGGCACCCCGTGGATCAAATCTAGCATTGTGTAAAAGCTTTCCAAGAGAATTATAGTTTACTTACAGAATGATAGCTATAAATGTTTAGGGATGTAACACATAACTGTTGCCCTGTGAAAGCTGGCTCGCTTCAAAATGTCAGGAAGCAGAAGAAAAACAGCCAGGTACCTACCTCGACCTTTGCATTTATCTAATCATTTTTAAAAGTCTTCATAAATCTCAGGATTCTACTTTCAATTAGGGATGTAGTCACAAAAAAAACTGAATACATCCCAGCAGCTTGCTCTCTCTGACTTGCAGAAATTAAACCCATTTGTATAAGAACCAAGTTTCTAAGTAATCTTTGTAATCCACTTTGCAAGAACATTTGATCCTACTGAAAGGAAGGCAAAAACGCTTTGAAAAAGAGACATGCTCATCAAAATGAGCAGGGGTCAAATGGCCCTGCAGTGGACACATGTAACCAGGAGGATGTACTTGCAGTCCCTGCAGCGTCCATCTGACCAAACAAGAGGATTACAGACAAGGGCCTTCCCCTGGGGGCGGCCATGTTTACCAGAGAGAGTAACCCAGAGGAGTGCGGTGAATAACAGTCGGACGCTCGGTATACAGCAACCCTGTCAGTAATTGCATGCCTGATAGATGCCTGTAGATTCACGTTTTAGTATTACAAAGGTTGTCTAAATAAGCCTACAACAATGATAGATTAATTCAGTGTGTAAACTGCACTTGTTATTAATAACATGTATGTTTGCAAGTCGGAAAAAAACATCAAATCGTTGCCATCCTACATGAAGCAAATGTAGCTGTCATTTAGCAAGAGCAACTGTGTGTGTTTTTTTTAATCTCTGCCCTATTTCAACACAACTCAGCCAATAAGATCATTTCTGTTTCTTCCGCTGAGAAATGTTTGGACTCCAATCTGTCCCAGTACCCTGCAGGTGGGCTCAGACTCATCCTTGCCTTCCTCATGACTTTTTTTTTTTTCTTTTAGGGGACTTGTTTATATTTTTACTAACTCTGCAAAAGATAGAAAATATCCCCATTGCGAAGGATATTGTGTGTTTTTTGTATGTCCATCACAGTGGCTTCTCTATCTTTTCTCTGCTAATACAAGTGTGAGTCTTTTTCATGCATTCAGAATGCTGAAAATCTTTGATTCACTTTGAGACACTTTGGCCTTTTCTAATTGGGGAAACTATCAATTGAAAAGTACAGTCTATTATTAGGAACAAAACACTTATATCCAGCCAAACTAAACAATTAGTTATTTAAATAGGGACTAGTCCAAAAGTGCACTCAACGGTCCACATCAAATGAAAAATAAATTGTACAAAAGTCTGCTGACATAGTAAAGGAACCACTGAACTGTACAACAATATCAGTTATACTGTGTGCTCTCTGTTTGTGTTATGTAATGTCACTGTGCACTTCATTAACACCTTAATTCCATGACAGAGCATCAAAACATCAACAGCATTTAGGCTATTTCCCCCATGAATCAACAGAGTACCACAGTGTTGACTGTTAACAAAATGTCAATGCGCACATTCTCCTGCCAACGCAGTCGCGTTTTCCATGAATGGAGAATTACTAATGTTGCTGTAAACAAACTGAGGTGTGTAGGCTTTCACATGTTTCCTCATCTTTGCCTGACTTCACTGAGTCCTTTTAGGAATCAAGGGTGGGGTTTTTCCCATTGGATACATATATTTTTTGGTATTATGCAATCAAAGTTCAGCATGTATAAAAGAATAAAAGGATTTTGAATTCAAAAGGTAAAAACCTGACAAAGCCATGATAGTCTGGATTTGAAGGAGAATCAGAAATGGCAAATATAATAAGTAAAATGAAAAATGATTGTCCTTAATTTCTACACATACATCACTTTGGTCTCTGCTTTGCACCTGTTACTTGAGCTATGGAGAGTGAAATATGGACATTTGGCTGATTTGGAATATAGTTTTCTTCAGCTGCAAGGCTAGTGGTTAATTGTATTGATAACAATTAATGTAATTCAAATAAAGGTAGGAAGAAACAATAATGCTGTTGTTTACTAGTTAATCTTACACATTCAAACATCATCAATCTTAAAATAATAAATCCACTTAACAAATGAAAGACCCTAATAGAAAGATCAAAAACAAACTACCGCACACTGTTTCCATGACCCTAAAAAAGGTTGAACTTGGCAATCAACTTAACCACCGGCACAATAAAAAACAACAACTCCCAAACACTCCTCGACATGCTGTCCAGGCCATGATCCATCTTATCTCCAAATACAGGTAGAAGTTTCCAAAAAGACTAATCTTGTTAAACCAAGTGTGAGCAAATGAATCGGCAAGGCCAAAGAGTAACTGCAACACTGTTTACACACAACAGGTTGGAATATTTACCCCACCCAAAACGCGGCCTTCATGGCCCCACGGACACGATCCATTAGCTTTGGAGAGTACAACATTGTTGCCAGGTCAGCCTAAATGCTCAATAACCAAACTCTTTGGTTTAGGGTTAGGCTTTTAACAGGGTAAACAAATACTAAATAGTCTAAAATGTGTTAAGAAAAGGAAATACAGGACAACCACTCTTCAACTACTGGCTGCAAAGACCCATCATCCGGGTCAGTCAGGCAGATCAGCCTCTCCAGAACACCAAAATGTTTCTACGAACAAAGAGGCTGTATTCTTTAATACCTTTTTAAATGTCTCTTTGTTTAGTAGTAGTAGTAGTTCTTCAGTGGTTCCCAACCTGGGAGTCGAGACCCACCAAGGGGTTGCGTGTCAATTGTGAGGGATGGCAAGACAAATATTTATTTTCTTCTTCCTTTCTTCTTTTTTGCTGTCTCTGCTACACAAAATGCAGTTTTACCTTTAATAATGTGAGAAGTGAACGTCACTCTCATGGATATGATCAACCTATGACAATGGGTCATAAGTCGACATTGGTTGGCCACAGGAGCTGTATTACTGTGTAATTCAGGGTAAAACTAAACTTGAATGTAAGAGAAAAGCTCAGATTACACTGCTCTTCTGCTTCCCATTCCAAACAGCTAGCAACATGATATCTGAAACACCGCCATCAATAATCACTTCTTCAGCCACTTATTAAAGTTATTGGTGTTTCCCAAAGTAGTTACTTCTAACTGTAATACTTCTGACTGTGATCAAAGAACATAGACAAAAATCTAAAAACCTGCTAAATATGCATCATCAGTCTGCAGCAACAACCAGATGGGCTGTCTGTAATCTACTCTCTGATTGGATTTATGTCCTGAAGAAAATCCCCCACAGTGACGTGTCCATTTCTGCTGTATTTTGGTCCTCTTGTCACTTCATGTGCAAGAAGGCATGTGTAAAAGTACCTCATTCTCTAGGAATAACAGTAGCCAGCCTCATTAATGGATTAGACAGAAAGCAAGGACATTTTAAGCCTTATTCGCAGAGGACTGCTGTTAGACATGGGCCTCATCAGAGAATTATCCTCCATCCTCTGTTTTCTCCAAAATGACTGCATGTTATTGTTATCAAAAGCCCACTGTCTCCACCAATATATAGACATAAATCTGTGGTTCTTAATCTTTTTGGCTTGTGACCCTTTATGTCTATGAGCATACTTTTGTTTTACCTAAGCGTGATGTTCCCTTTTGTTATTGTTTAATCTGGATAACCTTTAGCTTATATAAAATAGAAAAACTTCTACACAACGTCTACAGGTTTAACTAATGCAAATAGGACTTTAGTCTTACGGCAATTCAAACCTTAACTATGAAAAAATGCTGACATCAGTAAGAGATGGGCTTAGTCTTTAACTCACATCTCAGTCACCCAACGTAAACTTTCCTCCTCCCTTCCTTTCTCAAGTTTCTCCTCGAACTGTCCGGAGCTCTTTGTCCAGGCAGCCGCAGAATGCAGCAGCTGCGCCTGAGGGCACACCGTACTTTACACTCTACGGGCCAACCAAGAGCGCAAATACATATAGATGCTAACACACCCGCATGCACATAAACACAAATACACTATGTCTACAACCAAGGACAAAGGCACAAGACGGCATGTAGTTACACACTGTACCCAAGAGACTCAAATCAGCAAGTACAATTTTATCCAACTAGCCATTACTTCCAGAGAGAATTCTCTCTCCTCTGTCGAAACAGACTTGTCACTCAGCAGGACATACACAGCTATTTCTGGCCACAAAGTGGACTCAGCAACTTCCTTGGGGTCACGGGGAGTTACAGGGACTTTTTTCTGTAAAAGAGAGCAGCCTTCAGCAAAGACAGACATGCGCCCTAATCAGCCACGACAATGAGTCCATCAGAACTTACTGAGAGGTTTGAGGATGCTGTTGCTGGCCTCATCGTTATTTTCTGTGTCCGACTTGTCAGAGGTGTTCTCCGTCAACTTCTCCTTTCTGTCCTTGTGGCCGGTTCTCCGACGATGACGCCTCCGACGCCGATAGCTCTTGGGCACATGCACGCCAATGTAAACGGTGTGGTGACCTGCGCAAAAAGCAAAACAGCAGATGAACTCTCTGACACCAAACATCCTGACAAATCCAGATTATGATGCAAATTATGCACCTGCTTCACAGATCACCTTCTGAACATGACAAGGCACAATCAAAAACCCTACCAGGATTGCAAAGCATTGAAAAATTATAAGTATCAACATTTAGAAAATCATGACATGGCACTACAGAGGTGCTAAATAAGTAAAATACATCATCAATTTAACACAGTCTTAAACACTTGTGAATTCAGTTAAACAGGGAAGATTCTCATGTTTTCAAGGCAGTGTAGCAGAGCAGGGTTATAGAAGTTGCAGCACACTGTTAAAACAAATATTTGGATAGAAAAAGAAGTAGAACATAGCAGTGAAGACGCCATGACTACATCCCTTTTATATATGTTGGCACAATACGAACAGGAGGTGCAGTTTTACATGTAGTTTGGTGGTTTAGGGTCAATAATAACAAGCAGACCAGGCTGTTTGCTAAAAACATGCCATTCAGATGGACATGAATTTCATGCCAGCATGCTAAACATCTATTTTTAGTCATGAAAATGTGACTGATATTTAAGTAAGGTATCTGGTTTGGGTATTTATTTTTATATACTGTAATAGTAATAATAATAATAATGAATTTTTATAAAGTACTTATCAAAGCAAAGTGCTTCACAGAGACACAAAGAGAAATATGAATACATATGGGGCAAAATAAAAATAAGAAATAATAACAAGAAAATAAAAACCAATAAACAGGCAGCACAGATAAAATCAGGATATGCTTTCCAATAAAAGTGCATTATTAGAAGAGACTTAAAAGAAAACACTGACTCAGACAGCCTAATTTCCTCTGGCAGGTCGTTCTATAGCCTCAGGGCAGCAAAAGCTCTGCTTCCTTTTGATTTCAGCCTGACCTCAGGAAGAGACAGAATACCCCTGCCCAAAGATGTCAAACTATGCAAAGGTTCATAAGGGATTAAAAGGTCCAAAATATAATCTCGGAGCCAATGTAATAAGGCTAAAACATGTGTGATCATGTGATCATAGAAGAGGCTCTTACAATAATCAAGGTGCAAGGAGATAAAAGCAGGTATCACCGTTTCTGCATATCTAAAATTTAAAATAGATCTTATTTTTGCAATATTTCTGATCTTAGTGATGTGTTGCTATCAAAAAGACACCAAGATTTCTTGCAAAAGGCTCGATATGTTGTGACAGGTAACCAGTGAATTGCTGTATTTTTTTGTGATATGTTGGGCCCAATAACAATTCTGTTTAATTAGAATTGAGCTGAAGACAATTTACTGATATTCAGTTTTTGTTTGGTTTTTCAGACAGGAAGTCCTGTAGGGAACTCAGCATACTGAGGTCAGTGGACTTCATAGGGAGGTACAACTGTGTGTCATCCGCATAGCAATGAAAAGAAACATCATGTCTATGGATGACATCACCCAAAGGGGAGCATAGGGGGAACAGAATTGGTCCAGCAATTGACCCCTGAGGCACACCATAATTGACCATATGTATTACCACATATGCCCACCCAGTGCCTCTATCCTGTGTCAGGCTGCACTTTAGTCCAGCAGCACACAAACTGAACATGTCTGCATCAGCATTAATGAAAAGGTTTTTGTAGGACTGGTTAGCACAAGCAGTTTTAAAGTAATGTGTGACACAACCAGTAGATAAGATTAGATAGACTTTATTGATACCACACTGGGGAAATTCACTTGCTCACTTTTAACACTAAGCTGTTCAAAATAGTGGGGCCTAATACAATCCATAACTTCAAATAAAAACTTAGTTGGGATTATGTCAAGAGGGCTGGAGGATCCTTTCATAGAGACATGAGTTCAGGCAGAGTAATAGAATACAAATAGCTCAAGGAATCTTGGAGCAGAAGATTAACATCTGGTAATACCAGAGTGTGATGAAAACATTTCATTTAGCATTGCAATTAGCAGAGACACAAGGAGAGGCTGGGTTAACTAACTGATTGGTAGTCTTAGAAAGAAACCTAGGGTTGTGCTGTTCTTGCATCTGTCACCATCCTATTATAAAGGAGTAATCACTCTTTTATAGTGGCCTGGAGACATGATTTCTTCCATTTAGATTCTGCTTTTCTGTATTTCCGTTTACAACTCATTTAACCATGGCTACTTTCCAGTCTCTGAGTTTGGGCAATTCTTCAAAGAAGCTATGAAATCTAAGGTTGAGGAACACAAAGAATTAACCAAATGTCCATGATTTCAACAGACGATATTCTCAGACCCATAGTAAAAACTGTGTATCTAGAGTGCGGCTATGGTAAAGAGTTTGGTCAGACACATGCTGTTGAAAGTTAAAACAATTAGTTATATTTTTTAAGAATCTGTAGGACATTAGAAGACTTGTCAAAGTGAATATTAAAATCATCACAAAGAACAATTCTGTCATAATTTGAAACAAGACTCTAAAAATTCAGGGCGCTCCATCAAAAAGGAGCCAGCTGGTTTAGTGAGGTGATGAATATGACAAATATGACCAGGAGAGGGCCACCAAGTTTAAAACAGTACTTCAAAGTAGGGCTGGGCAATAAAACAATGATAATTATCGCCATACAATTTTCCTCAATAACAACATGTTCAATCAATATTTGATTTAATTCATTTGAATCATGAACAAATTATGACTTATAAAGGGACTAAGATTTTACTTAATTTTATTCATGCATATTTGTTGAAAAAAAGATTTTGTCATAATTCTTTTGAATGTTCTACCTCAGATTTGTTAAATGATCCGCTGTTTGGCATCAAGTGTTTGTTCTGACCATAAAGAATAGTTTAGAACCACAATTAACTACCTGGTTTCTTCAACTTTCACTCGGGAGCTAAAGTCAGCCTTTAAACTCAGAAGAAATAATGATTTGACATTTATCCTAATAATTATTGATATCGAATGATATGAGATTTTCTTATCTTGGTTAAATTTTTGGCCATATTGCCCAGCCCTACTTCAAAGGAAGAAAAATCATTTCTATCAGCTATTAGGTTGCTTTTGAAATGCTTCCCATAACAAGGCCACCACCACAACCACAATCCCTAGGACAGCTAAAGCAGTCATAATCTGGGGGACACAGTTTAGCAAGCCCAAGTGCCGCTGACTGCAGTGTGCAGATCTGGGCAGTGCTCAACATGGGCGGCGTCAAATGTTTGAACCCGCCCCACAGTACACTGTAAAGCACGTATTAGCTGTTTACGATCGTAAAACTAGCTGCAACAAGGCGGGGCTGTCGCTCCGACGCAAATAATACCCCCAGCTTTAACCATATACCAGTTACCATGGACTGTCTTGAGCTATTGCTCAGTTAATGACCGGCAAACGTATAATGCTGCCCAAGTTGAGCAAAATCAGTAGAAGAGATAAAATAATTTCAAATACATATTTTTTTAAGAGAAAAAATCTCAGATTAAGAAGAGTCATCTTTAACAGTCGGTGCTGGGTTAAAACTGAAATTGAAACTGGAGCTGGGTTTAAGAATAAGAAGAAGATACACTATATTTAATCCCCTGAGGGGAAACTCAGTTAGGGCTGGACTTTTATTAAATTATTAACATTGCTGTGTAGGATGTGTCTGTTTCATTTTGACAGGCCAATGCAAATTACTAGGAATCTTAAAACTACATGGGGCAGTGCAAGAAAGATCTGGGCTCCTAGCATGGACAGGAAAAATAATAGGAGCACTATCCTTTCACAAGGGGGAGTCAGTGACAGAAGAGGGTGCATGACTGTGTTTAGTGGGCAGAGAAGAGAAAAAAAAAGCGAGGCTAGAAAGGTGATTTAAATAGTCACATGTGGAGGACAGACCAGAGCCAGGTGTGAAGGCTGGATCTTGCTAAACCACCAATTCCACGACCCAGCATGGAAATCAAACCTGAGGTACGTCAGCTTGGATTGCTGACATACAGTATCATTGGTGCCAACGAATATAATTTTCCTGATAGTCGTCAGGGGTGAAGCCATGAGCCTTGCTTATTGAGGACTTCGGGGGTCGTAGCTCCAGAAAAGCAGTGTGTGACTGCATTAACAAAGTGGACAGTCCTCACTATTGAATCTCCAACTATCAGCGTAGTTGGGGGGATAAGAAGAGGCAGAGACGATGATCGTGGAGAGTGCTGTGTTGTAGCAGCCATACGTGGGGTGGTCGTGGCTGAGAACTGCTGCAAAGAGGGGACAACCTCCTTTTTAACCAAGGGTAAGTGAGACCTTCAGAGCTTCTCCTGATCATGGCCTCTTTCAACAACGTGCACCGAGAGGGAGAAGGACTTGACCGCTGAAAGATGGGAGGGTCCCACCAGTGCAGGAAAGTTAGTTCATTAAAACTAAAATCCAGTCTGTAAAAGTGGTAAAAGCATAAAATCCTGAAAGGGACCAGTTAGGCCAGACACCAGGCTAAATACAAACTAGAGCTAATGATGTCCAGTTGACAGCCAGCTTAGCATCATTTCAGAGTCACACGTTGGATGAACAAACTGTTACCATATAGGTAAAACAACCAAGGTCTAAGCGTGTAGTTTAGAATTGTGGCTTAAAACTGGATAGAAATGTCAATTTATGACATTAATTAATAATTTAAGCCTCTGGCAGACAGCTGATTGTTTTATTTCCATAAATGGTTCCAGGGAAAAGTTCTTGCGGTTGAAATGGGCTCCTAGACTGCATTAGTTTTTGTTAGGTGTAATAAACAATATTAGGGTAATTTTATATTAGTAATTAGGTGTACAGTATTGTATAGTAGTTTATTACTAGTTTTCTATAGATGCAGTACTGTACAGTACATGGCAGTAGAGTTTCCCATCCCACAACAGCTGGCCAAATGGCCATTGTGGTCAGTACGATCAATACATTGTAAGCTGACTAGCTTCAGCTCTTCAGTTCCAGGGTTTAGTTTTAGTAATGCCATACTGTATTTCAAGTAAATAACCTTCACCTTCTCTCTAATACCTGCATACTT